CATCCTGATAGTTTCACCTTTTTTAAAAAGCAGGAAAACAAAACTCTTTTCAAAAGAGCTCCTTAGCTCCAGCAATCATACATCAGAAACAATCTGAGGATGATAAAAGAAACCTTTTTCCTAGGTGAGTTTTCTATGCCTTTTCCCATGAGTAAATGAGCAAATAGGTTAGTCATGCTTTTTTTTAGGAAAACAAACATCTGTTACATGTAAAAATGAGAGAGGAATTACTAAAAAACACATGTCAAGAAAATAAGTCTTGAGAAAGCAAGCAAGTTTTTGGGTACTATTTGATTTAACTTCCCAATAAATTTCGTTATTTCATATACCTTCATAAAAAAAGTAACTGGAATTAAAATGATTAAAACAGATACATCCTTCTCAATACTTTCTTGAAGCGTAAGTGCAAAATACTGTTTTCTAGATAAACTTTGCATTTTCCACTGCAATACAATGTCACTAATAGGTGTGGGCAGCAGTTGCACAAGACAGAGAGTTTGGATTTTTTTTGTGGAGAATTTTAAAACTTTCTGTAATGGACAGACTTATCATTTACCTACAAATCATACTTTTACTACTTATGACCAACCACCAATAAAAAAGCACTTCTCTACGTTCATGGAGTTTTAAAGTGTCTATACTAGAGCTATCTTGTTATTCTGTAGTGATTGAGGCAAAAGATAAATAATTGCTTGTGGAGTACAAGCAGCTAGGAGAGGTCTGAAGTAAAGGGTAACAATAATTTTTAAAACTGTTCCTCTCAGTAGACCATCTAGTTTTTCTAGGGTGCAATTCCCAAAATTCTTTGTGATATGTTTTAGGGTTTTTGTCTGTTTTACTCAAGTTTTATGCTAAGTTTTCTTCTATGCCATTTCAAACAAAATCATTACAAAAGATCATGCTGCCTGAGAATATAAGAATACAGGCTCATTTCCAGTTAAGGGACATAAAATTCAAAATTGCACTACAAGGAATGAAAGGAAATAGAGGGCTGGTAAAGCAAGTAACAAGCATATAAGACAACCAGGCCTTTAACATATATACATGATCATTACATTAGACAGTGTTTTATTCACAGGTAAAACAGATTTCTTCTATCCAGTTCTCTAGAAACTCAAAAATTTTAAGTAAGAAGACTAATTGTTACGCAGAGATTTTAAGAAGAGTATCATCTCAGGATCCTAGAGTTCCTAAATTAGGATTTTAAATTTCTCCCTATGAAACAGAACCTAGATACTTCTATTTCCAAAGAATCCAAATAAAATTTCCCAAGAGGAATGTCAGGTAGATGCTGGAAGTAGTGTTAAAATTCAGGATGATGACAAAACCGGAGACACATAGAGCTTGGGGAAAGCAACTGGAGAAGGAGGATGAAAAGAACCATGTGCCGCTTCTGCTAGAAGTGTGTTTCACATATGCTAGTTTCTAGGGAGAAAGCACTAATCCCGTATACAGAGGCCACCTCAGCTGCTCCCCTCTTCATCGGAACAATTCATGTCAAAAGTTCCTCTAAGGACAGTTTTTGCCAACCAGCTGTTCTTCTCTCATTGTAGGAAGTCACCTCCTTTGCTCTTTGGCTTCCTGGACCTCCAAATGAGTCATGAATAGCCTTAAGCTAATGATACCCTAACAGTGATACCACAATAACAGAGGTGGTAAAAGTATGCTGAGAAATCACTGTGTGGCAAGTTACTTGGCCTATTCATCACCTTCTGAAGCAGCACAGCTTTAAGAACATTCTATGTGTAAAAGCCAAACTCGAGATCACAGAGCTGCAATGTTGATTATTGCTACTGTTAAAAAATAGCTTTTACCCAGGAGCTGTGATCTTGGTTTATGCTGAACTGCAAACACAGGCATAGAGCATAAACCAGGAAAATGTGTATTACCTGTTCTCCTGCACAAGCACAAGAAAAAGTTGCTTAGCCTTTTTCAAAAGGCCCATATTCTTGTCCAGCTCTCTTGCACACATCTCCAGGTAGCTTTACCAACCACTGAAATTAATGCTCTTAAGAGCAGCAATGGAGCAACGAATATTTTAACAAACATTACTACTTTAAATGTGCATAAACACGCCTTCAAGCATTTTGAGTTTCTTTCAAATTAACCTCATCTGCACTATTACACTTTAGTGACTGTGTTCTGTTAAATTTTGATCTGCACCTTATACTAAGTTAATTTCATAATTAATGTAGTATTTAAAATAGATCTCATTTCATATACAATTTGTTTAATTTATACAGGAAGGTTAGATGCTGAACAGGAACTCCAGAACAGTACACAGTAGAAACATCACTGCTTCTTAGTGACCGTGGTTCACTGTTTCTACAGGACTTGAATGTCTTCCACGCTCAGTGAGCTCAGCACTGTGGGTGGGTATACCAAGATTCTTTGTTTCCCTATTTACACACCACAGGCATGTATTTCAGGAGCCTGCAAAGAACTTACTGATCTACTGCCCTCTTCTCTGACTTTTCCACTGGCTAGCCAAAGCTGTTAGTGCTTAAGGATGAAGCAAGTCTCCATACTAAAATCCTGGCAATCAAACATCATTTGTACAGAAAGATTTTCTGACACTACTTGCAGACTAAGCACAACCTCAACAAACAGACTTGCTTTGTTCGTTTGAAGTCTGACTAGTTCTTGCCAAGCAGATTTCCTCAAAGTGACTGTACTGTTTATTCCTGCCAATTCTATATTCATGAAGCATGGAATGAAAAGGGAAAAGATGACTGTGTTCCTGGTATGGAAATGCTTTGGGTGTGCGATGGACTACACGACCTACATTCTTCAATGAATCAATGCAACATGGTGTGAATGAATTAGTATTTGGAGATCCCAGTAACGGATTTCTACTTCCCCAGAAATCTCAACAAACCCCAAAACTTGTCTATATGAGACAAGTACAATAGCCCTTCTGCTACTGGCAGGCAGGTAGGGTGCAGTGCGAGGCCTTAATGCAGTTCTGTACTTGCCAGCATCTGTCTCTCATAGACCATCCATACCAACCATTATCACAGTATGTTTGTTTCACATTGGCAAAGACAACAAAAGAGAGTATCCAGGCATACTGCAGCTAAACAACCCTCAGAATTACGATTTGAGCACAAAAAAAAATGGGGCTGGACTTGAAAATGCTATTAGCCCACACCTGTTCCAGTGTAGTTGCCAGCTCTGTAAGTGAACATGATGTCCTTCACAGTGTATTATACAACCAAAACAGAAAGAAAGGGCTTTAGAGCAGTTTATAACCATGCACTGGTAGCAAAAACCTGATGGTGTTAAGGCTCAGGACGGTAAAGTAACAACTGGCTTATTATTGGTATTCATGCCTGTTGCAGAGGCAGCACAATTGGTATCCTGTGTCAGAACAGAAATGTTCCAGGTTTCAGGTATATCTGACAGAAACAGGTTCATTCTGAGACGTTTTTACTTCACATATAGTAATAGTACCTGAATGGATGCCCATGGTCATTGATAAGTCTAGCTTTTGGCAGCCCATAGTAATAGTACCTGAATGGATGCCCATGGTCATTGATAAAATTAAGTCTAGCTTTTGGCAGCCCACAGAAAAGAATGACAGACTTAGGGTGTGTTCCTTGTGTTCTTCTGTATCATTTGTGTGGTTTAGTGTAGTAGTGATCACACAGGCCTTTTGTTCCTCTTCATATATATCCATTTAACAGAAATTAAAAAGACATCCATATTTCAGTATCACAACAATTAGGTTCCTTGAGTTTCTGTCTCTCCCATTACTGGGAGTGACAGTGAACAGAATTCAGAGGTCTATACCACTTCAGCTAGGCACCCAACAAGGCATAGCAGTGATTTAGAAAAATATCCGAACTCTAGAGGATGCAGACAGAAAGGTGGTATGCCTGCATTTAAACAAGGAGAGAACCTGTCAGCAAGACCTTGGAACAGAAATCAGGCACACAGTAAAGGTGCACAAACATAAATCTGTTGACCTGGGCATTGGGAGAAAGCGCAGAAAGCGATCTGGTAGAGCACCCAGCTGGGGAATGGCAAAAATAATACACAGCATAGCTACAGACACAGAAAGAACAAAAGGCAGTAAACTTATGCAAAGGTAATACAATAAAGCAAAAAAAGCAATATTAATGTTTTATCTAACAGAAGGAAAAACTATACAGTAATTTTTGTCCTTTATTTCATACAAATTATTTACAGAATACAGTTGGAAGGTTTTACATTATGTACCTTCAAAGGTTAATAGTGTGCAAACCTTCATAATTCCAAAATAAAATTTCAAGAAGATCTCCATCAGTTTTAGTCAGAAAGATGCTGTCATCATGTACTTTACTGTCTTCAAAAAAAAAGACCATCCTTTCAGACATGTACAGATCCAACTAATGTCCTCTCTCTGTTCAACACTGCTGTATTTTAAACATTTATATGGATTCACAAGATAACTTTAAAAAATCTGCTGGAAGTTATTAACTTCTAACATACAGAACAGGATATTACACTAAAAAAAGTTAAGTTTCTTGTACGTATTTATTACATTACCAAATTCATCTATCTGGAAAATTCTTCCATGCAAAGGATTTTTTTCGGTACCTTTAAATATAGAATATGCATTTGGACTGTAAATTGCACATTTTTACACTCCCCAGTTAAACAACTAAAGAGATATGAACACAAGCATATTTATTAAAATACTTTACAAGAATTATGTATTCTTAGAATGTATGACTTATCAGTGGGCCTCACTGTCACGTAATTCAGACCAGACACATGATTTATTTTACTAACACAAATCAGGAAATTTACTTGATAGACAGACTTACTAGATACTTGTTTGTTAGAAAGCTTCTTAAGACTTCTTGGTGTCAAGAGTCTTTACAGACCACATACCAAAAAGGCACCTCACAGTCCGAGTGGTTTTATATTCTTCCCTTAGATGTAATCTGTTTTTCTGTTTTTATTAATTGTACTGAAAATAAAATTTATATATAGTTCTAAATTGAGATACTTACAGTGAAAATACCCATTAGCTGCGTGTAAAAGAGTCGACTTATTCCACCTAACATTATTAGACCCATGAAGGCAGATATTCTTAGGAGAGCAAGTTCATGTCTAAATATAAAAACATCCTAGAACAAGACAGAAAGGAGAGCAACTTTAGCAGTTACAAATTAATTAAAGTCTTTGAACCAAGTGGAAATACTAGATAAGAAAGGTGTGTTCTCCAAGACTTACAACAGAAAGTAAATATTTAATTTTGAGCTACACTGCAAATCGATGTATTTATGTATTAGAAGTAGAAAACAAAAAGGTTTTGTTTATACATGTGAACAGTTGGGTTTTATTTTGCTAGACTGTTAAACAAAACTTCTTCAAGTATTTAAAGTTTCCCAAATAGATCAAGCTCAGGTGGGTTATTCCTGAATCTTCCATTTCAAACTGTGCCAGATTGCTACACACAAGCTGCATAACCTAGGAAAACCACTCTGTTAAACAGTCTCATTTATTAAGACTCCTATGCCTCAGCTACCAGCCACAGTACATTTCATTTTTACATCACCTCTTCTGTAATTAAAAAAACAGCATTTCAAGCTTTACTCTTGAAGATGGTACCTACAAAATCAAAGTATGTGTATTGGATTGTTCTCATTGCAATGCTGCCTATTATCCAACATAAACTTATCTTCACTTTTTATATTTTGGCCTTGAATGCATTACTGTAACTGGATAGGAGTGCGCAATAAAGATGCTTCAGGGTACAGGAAAATAGGGATATATTGGATCAGCTGCACTGGAAAGGATAAAACACCTTATTTTTATCACAGAAAAACATTTGCACACAGCTTATCCTTGGATAATGGGTTAACACACCCATTCTCTTTTTTGTAAGTTAAAATTACATTTTCAAGGCTCTCTTTTGAGTATACACATCTGTTTTTCCACTTACAAAAGCTTGATCACAGCAGGAAACTATTAAAATCTTTCAAGTAAACTTTAAATTACAACCAGAATATAAAAGTAAACTGAATGAAAAAAAAACTCAAAACAAAACAACCCACAGCACTGCTTTTGAACTTTCCTTATTTATGTTCAACCAGTAGGACTTGAGGAGGAGCAATTTTTAGATACTGGGCTTCTTAAAATGGAAAACAGTTAAAGCAAACTATGTTTAGCAAAAAATCTGATTTTTCGTTTAAATTATTTCCATGAAAGTTCAAAATATAACCCAGGAAAAACAGTTATACTGCCTACTAAAGCTGTGAAGAAAGTCAAAATTTAATGAACACATACAAATCACTAGTTAACCACGCAAAATAACAAGCTCTCTCCAACAGTCTCTTCTGAACTATTGCAATGGTGCATCCCCTCTCCCCCTCCCTTGTTACAGCCTTTCTTACTGCTGTAGAAAATACATTATTTATTTTCATGTTTTTAGCCCTTCTTACTCAGTTAATGAGCTAATTCAAAGTCAAATCAACTCAAAATAAAAGCAGTCATACTAATCTTATTTCCCTTTCCATTAACCCATAAAAGCTTTAAACAAAAGCAAGGTAAGACACAGCTTCTACTAGTAGTTTATAGCTTCATAGTTAAGTTGTTTTATCATATCAGGTATGTTTTGACATATTCAAACCCAACTTCACAGGAAACACCGAAATGTAAGAGAAGAGTGCCAACAGCAAAGTTACGTTCTGGATCTGGCATCACACACACTCCCACATCAGCACCCCCTGCAACTCTGTTAGAAGAGCTCCTTCTCTTGAAAATCACCTTCAGCATGAAAAAGATACATCACCCAACACATGACAACAGAAAATCCTAGTGCAAAGAAGAGAAGTTGCATTTTCATCTGTTCCTTCTAATGTTTGTTAAAACTAGCGGCACAGAAAAGGAAAGACCTTTCATACTGAGGATCACAAAATCATAGAATCACAGAATGGCCTGGGTTGGAAGGGATATTAAAGATCAGCTAGTCCCAACATCCCTGCAGAACACCTTTCACTAGAGCAGGCTGCTCAGAGCTCCATCAAACCCAGCTTTAAATGCTGCCAGCAATGGCCATCCACAAATTCCCTTAGCAAGCTGCTCCATTGTGTCCTGATCCTCTGAGTAAAGAATTTCTTCCTAATATGCAATCTCAATCGCCTCTCTTTCAGTTTGAATCCATTCTCTCTTGTCATGCCACTCCATCTTTTGTAAATAGTCCCTCTCCATCTTTCTTGTAGGTTCCATTCAGGTAATGGAAGGCTCCAAGTAAATCACCCCAAAGCCTTCTCTTTTCCAGGCTGAACAACCCAGTTCACAGAATCACAGAATTGCTCTGGTTGGAAGGGTCCTCTGGAGTTGCACATCTAGACAGGTTTTGAACACCCTGAAGAGGGAAACTCCACAACCATCCTCTTGACACCTGCCTTTGAGATATTTACATGTATTGATGAGATCCCCTTTCAGTCTTCTCTTCTCTACACAGGCCCAGCTCCCGCAGTCCCTCCTCGTAAGAGAGAGGATGTCCTGGGAGACAGTGTCAAAAGGTAGAGAAGTCAAGGTAGACAACATTCACTGCTCTTGCCTTGTCATCCATCCTGCCATGCCATCACACAAATCCAGCATGATTTCTTCTTAGTGTATCCATGCTGACCACTCCTGATGACCTTCTCTTCTTTTACATGCTTGGTGATGACCACCGAAATGATTTGTTCCATCACCTTTCCAGAGACTAAGGGAAGGCTGACTGGCTGATAGTTTCCCCAATCCTTCTTTGTGTCCTTTTTGAAGACGGGAGTAACACTGGCTTTTCTCCAGTCACCAGGCACCTCTCCCTTCTCCATGATTTTTCAAAGATTGTGCAGAGTGACTTAGCAACAACATGTGCCAGCTCCTTCAGCACCCATGGGTGCATCCCGTCAGGGCCCATGGATTTATGGGTGTTAAGTCTCCCTAGTCGATCTCTAATCCAACCTTCTATGACCAAGCGGGAGTATTCCTTTCTCTGGCCTTTCTCTCTTAACGCCAAGGTCTAGGATTCCTAAGGGATGGCCTCAGCAGTAAAGACTGAAGCAAAGGCAGCATTCAGTAATTCCACCTCTTCTATATCTTCCACCACCACGACACCCATCTGATTCAGCAGTGGCCCCACACTTTCCTTAATTTCCTTTTGCTGTTGACATACTTGTAGAAGCCCTTCTTTTTATTCTTGGTATCCCTTGACAGACTCAATTCCAGGGGACCTTGGTTTTCCTCGTCACATCCCTTCATACCCTGCTGATGTTCCTACAGTCCTCCCATATGATCTCTTTTCCCATATCCCATAAATTTCTTTCTTGTTTTGAGATTCGCTAGATGCTCTCTGCTCATCCATGCAGGTCTCCTGCCAGGTTGCTTCATTTCTTGCTCATAGGGATACACTGGTCTTGAGTCTGGAGGAAGCAATGCTGAATACTGACCAGCTTTTTTGAACCCCCTTCTCTTCTAGAGCCCTATCCTGTGGGATTTCTCTAAGCATGTCTTTGTAGACATGGTTTAGGGTTCTAGTCCTGCTTACTGCTTTGCTTCCTCCACGCATGATCCTGAGTTCCACCATCTCAAGTGGAAGGCTGGAAGCAAGGCTACCCCCAACCTTTATGTCTTCAACCAGTCTCTCTTGGTTTGTTAGTGCAACGTCCAGCAACACACCTCTTCTCTTTGGCTCTTCCATCACTACTATCAAAAAGTTATCTCTGGGAACTTCCTGGACTGCATGTGCCAAGCCATACTGTCTCTCCAACAAATACCAGGGTGGTTGAAGCTCCCCAGGAGACAAAAGGCTTGTGACCATGAGGATATTTCCAGCTGCCCACAGAAAGTCTCAACAACTTCCTTCTCCTGATTAGGTGGCCTGTAGTAAACACCAACAACAGGGTCACCAGTATTAGCCTGTCCCTTAATTCTTACCCATAAGTTCTCAACTCATTTCTCTCTCCCTGGGTAGAGCCCTTTTGACGCACCCCTGCACACAACTCGCTTTCTGGGCTGCAAGTGCACATTAGCAGCTCATGTCCAGCCTCTAATCCAAGACCTTCTGAACAAAGCTGCTCTCTATTCATGCCCCAGTCTGGCACCCCAACCCAGGTGCTGCACTTGCTCTTGGTCTTACTAAACCTCGTGAGATTCCTATAGGTCCACTTCTCAAGCTTGTCCACGTCCCTCTGAATGGCATCCCATCCTTCAGGTGTGTGTCAACAGCACCACTCAGCCTGGTGTCATCTGCAAAATCTGCTGAGAGTGCACTCAACCCCTTCAGGTATGTCATCAGTGAAGATATTAACACTGGTCCCACTACAGCTCTCTGAGGGACACCCCTTGTCACTGATGCCCCATCACGACTCTGGGTCACTGAATCATTTCCCTCTGGATGCAACTGCACAACCACCTTCTTACTTGTCTAACAGTCCACTCATCAAATCCATCTCTCTCCAATGCAGAGTGAAGAATATTGTAGGGGACTATGGCAAAGGCTTTACAGAAGCCCAAATAAATGACATCTGTAGCCCTTCTCTTGCCCATTGATGCAGTCACTCCATCACAGAAGGCCACTGAGGTCAGACAGGACTTGTCTTTAGTGAAGCCATGCTTGTCCCTAATCTTTCCCTGTCCTCCATGTATCTTAGATGAAAGATACCTTCTTTCCCTTCTCCCTTTCTTCCCTCTTTTCTCCTTGATGAAAGCATCTTCTGCACAAAACTGGGGGTTGCTGAATTCCTAGTGAGAAGAGGTGACATGACCAATGTTTTTTTCCAACCATCATACAACCCTAGCAAATCAAAGGCAATGATGACCTGAAAGTCAATGTTTGGCCCTCACTTAGCTATCTGTAGTGACATAACAGCATTTTTCTATAGAAAACCAAAGCATATGCAGAAATTGAGTCTTTTGGTTATCAGACCTTAATAACAGAACTACTTGTGCAATTCTGCATTGTAACAGAAACACGTAACCAGATGAAAATAGGAAAAAAAGACCATTTTAAAAATCAATTTAAATAAAACCACCACCAATACTATAATAATAATAATAGTAATAATATGGGATGTTGCAGCTTTACATAAAAGCTTAACCCAATTTGGTTTCACTATTCCTTCTTAGAACTGAC